GGCAAATATCAAAACAAGAATGGATGGAATACAGCATGGATCCTCTCCCTGGAGGTGGCATGGCAAAAAAATCAGTAAAGATTAAACAACAAATAAATCATGAATGGAGGAAGCTACTGATTAGTGCGCGCCTGGGGGCCTGTGCGAGTTTGCCATCGCCGGGAGGGAACGCAGGCTATAGCGGCGACCAATGACCTGTGCAAAGGGGAAGATGGATGGAGGAAGGATTCGGGGAGGAGCCATGAGACCGAGCGGGAGGACCTCGTCCGGCAAACTGACCAGTCGGCATGACCGGCGAGGAAGGGCCGAAACCCTAGGTCGGGTCGCCGGCGCACCAGGGACGGAGAGGCCGGCGCGGCGCTCGACGGCAGAGACCTCACCGGGGGGGTGCAGCGAGGACGGCGCTCCGGAGCACGGCCTCGTGAGGGCGGAGACGGGTGCAACGTTGGCCACGGTGCGGGGAGGAGAAGAGTCGGGAAGGAGAGGAGAAGTGTCGGGAAGGACAGGTGTGGGGAAGAAGCAGCTGGAAGCTGAGTATATATTTGTTTATCCGGATTCTTATGTGAAGCCAGAGAAGCTAAGTAAAATCAGAGGAGAAGGTGTTGGAAGAGAGGGGAAACACACGAAGCAGCTTTGAATTGAAGTGGATCCAACCAATCTCAGCCACACGATGGCAGATCGAACGGCTGGGAATAATTCGGGTGACGTGGACGTGATTCCTGGCGGCCAAAGCAAGCTGGCTTAATGATAGTAGATTCCTCGGGTGCTGCACCCTTACGGCCGTGTGCTATGCACACCGGTGTTCCTGTGCGGATGCTGCCTGGTACTTGCTTCCATTACCGATTGTTCCAGATCGGAACATGGCCGTGGTACTCATGTACCAACACTTCCCAATTCCACCCCGACCTTGGATGTTAGTCAAGGCGGAGAAATTAGGTGACACCATCCTGTACCACTACGTGGGTGTTCTTCAAGTTGTGGGCGTGGATCTTTCAGACATCTGGAATGTACTCCACTCCTACCATATTCATGGAGTAGTTGGAGCGCGTGGGAGAATTGTCGAGTACAAGGAGACCAAGTTTAGTGCAGCGAAGAGAAACTATTATCCTTAGCCTTTGTCGTGGTACTAGTGGGCTGAAGCTACTTTGTTTATTGGAAGCCTCGAGGTGGGAATAATTAACTTTTTATCATCGGATGGCACCTTCTCAAATAATAGCTTTAGATTTGGCGCTATGCTTTTAGCAGCAGAGAGAGAAACGATACACATTTACCACTTTTGCTCGCGTGGCATGCCAGCTCCGCAGTCCAGCTCGGATCCGAGTCAGCAGGTTCAGGTAAAAAGACCTCCCCTGCCCCTGACGTCTTTGTCCTCCCCGCGCCCTCCCTCCCCCGTCCTGTTCCGTCCTGGCGTGCCAATGCTCGCCCGCGCTGCTCAACCTCCTCGTGCTGCTCTCCATCCTCTCCACCAACCTCCTCGCGCTCCTCGCCTTCCTATCCCCCCGCACGCACCCCGTCCCCGCCGCCACCGCAAACCTCTCCACCTCCTCCTCCTCCGCCGCCATCTCCGCGCAGGTGGTTGCCATCGCGCGAGAGATTGACGCGACCCGCCTCGTCCCGCACCAGGCGGCGGGCGACGATGGCGGCACCACCCTGCCCCCGGAGCTGCTCCTCTTCTGTCCGGCCGCGACGCTCGTTGGCTCATGGCGCGCGCTGCGGGCTCACCCACATGCCGGCCTCCATCGTGCACGCCGCTTCGCTCTCGACCACGCCGCGCTCCGCTCGCCACCACCACGCGCCCTCGCGCTTTGCTGCGAACGCCACGCTCCCGCACCGCCTCATCTCCAAGGCTCATGAGCATCGCTTCGCCGCCGCCGCTTGCCTCTCCGTGGTGGCGCGCGTGCTCTGTCCTCCAACATGGGCGTCGACAGCCACCGTTGGGTGAAGCCACGCCACAACCACGTGTTCCTCATCGACGACGTCCTGCGCCTCTCCGCCGACGTCGGCAAGATCCGGATCGACTTCGACATCGCCGGCGGCACCGCCAACTTCGCCGCCCAGATGAGGGAGCGCGGGGTCACCGTCTTCACCACGGTGCTCGACAACGCCGGGAAGCCCATGAACGAGTTCGTGGCGGCCAGGGGACTGTTCCCGCTGCTGCTCTCGCCCGCCCTCCGCCACCGCCTCCCCCATCGCCGCCGCCCACATCGCCGTCGCGGCATTCCTCGCGGCCTCCGCACCCAACTTCGATGCCACCGCCAGGGAGCTCTTCGCGCTCCCCAACGGCCGTGCGTGCCACGCAGTCCATGAGGGAGGTCCCCCGTGCTCATCTCCGATGTTGTCATCGCCACAACGGACCAGTTCGAGGCTGTCGTCGGGAACTCCTCCTCCTAGACCATCCTCAGGGACCTGTGGGGCAACTGGGCTGCCGCGGAGGAGGCGAGAGGCCCTGCCTCAAGCTCGCCGACCTCGTCCCCGGCGGGCACCACATCGGCCTCGAGCTCCTGCGCGTGCTCTAGGTGCCGCCATGTTCGTCGCCGACGTCAGGCGCGGCTGTGGACCTGCAGGCTGTGGCCCCGACTGCCTCGCCCCCAACTTCCCCTATGTCTTGTCAGCCGCCGCCATAGACCTCATCGTCGGCCATGGCCGGAGCTCGAGCAAGCAAGGGATAGAGATAGAAGAAATAGATGAGGGGCAAAAATATCATTTTCCGTGGCCGGTCTATGCTGTCAGGTTGAGTTGGCGTGCCACGTCAGCGAAAATGGCAAGAATGTATCAAATGCTCTCTCTCGATGGTAAATATGTAGGAGCAATTTTAAAAGTGCTATCTAGAGAGGTGACATCCGTTATAATGGTAAAAAGTTAAATATCCCCCGGAGGTGTGATTGTTTGCATGTCACTGCTTGATGCTTGTAGAGATGTTTATTGAATAATATGCTGATTGCTACGTTATATCACTAGTAATTAAGGATGTGATCTTAATGTAAGGATTATCAAATGGATATATTTTGCTCATCTGTGAATTCGTTATTGAGGATCCATGACTTTTTTTGCTGGGTTATTGCTTAATGATTACTATCAAACTAGTATTTACTAATGTCTGCCTCGTCTTTGTAAGTGAAGTTTGTACCTTGATTGATGTTCCTCAGCAAAACATTTGATGCTTCTGCAATTGCTATTCGGTTGAGACTAATAATAGGCGAGAGAGTTAAATAGAAATTACAAATTTCATGGAGTCATGGTTAAGTTAGCAAATGAACTGAGTGCATTTTTTAGATAAAAGAGATAGAGGTCAGTATATTCAAGTACTTCCAATGGTTAGCATTTTAGTTCAAAGAGTTAAAACTCTGCACAATCCCTTATGTGCTCAGGTAATTGGAAGAGACTTTGACCAGCACCTGATTGTTGCTTGTCATTCATCCTGTAAAGAGATATCAGTTAGCAGTACAGTGTAGTTCTCATTTTTGCCTGGCTAGTTCTGATAGTCGTAAAGACTACAGTTCACTTCCTATAATGTGAGACTACCGTTGCCCTTGCACGAGCTTTTCGCATGCACGATTGTGGGCTTAAACAGACTGTTATCCTGTCCTTGATTGAAATGACTGTTCGATGCACCAGAAGCGTGTACTCACTTCATCCGCTATGAGATTCGCAACATTCCGTACGCTAGTTATATGCTTACCATAGACATGCTGCTGAGCAACCATTGGTTTTGGACTCTCAAATTCGGTAAATTCGGTAAACAGGCTCTCTCTCTCTCTCTCTCTCTCTCTCTCTCTCTCTCTCTCTCTTCTCTCTCTCTCTCTCTCTCTCTCTCTATATATATATATATATATATATATATATATATATATATATATATATATATATAAATATATATATATATATATTTATATTTATATTTATATATATTTAAAAAAGTTGGAGTAATAAGACCCATAAAAAGGAAAAAGTCCACGTTACATCCCTTAACTTTTTGTTTTTTCTCCCCGAACTCTAAGACTGGATCAACCGCCTCCCTGAACTTTTAAAACCATTCGTTTTATCTCCCTGACAGGTTATAAGTAGTTTTCAAAGATGATTTTGTCTTTTTCGGCTCCCTGAACTTTTAAAACCATTCGTTTTACTCCCTGACAGGTTATAAGCAGTTTCCATTGGCGATTTTGTATTTTTCTTTTTTATTTATTTCGGCTGAATCTTTGAAAAATCATAGTAAATCACAGAAAAATCATAAAATGAATAATCCAATTTTGTTGGACTCCACGTAAGTAGATCTATACAGTAAACATATAATATGGTATACTTTAGTATAAATTTTTTGCTATAACTTTAGATCTATGTTTTCTATAATTAATTCATAGCTGCAGTTTGTATGGTCTAATTATAGTAAAAATTTTATGGTGGATTAATTATTATATACTTAAACTATAAAAATTTTATACTGATTGGATCATGTTTAACTTAGTTATAATTTTTTTTAGGTGTATGCTTGTTAAAAAATATAATCTACAACTAAGTTACACATGATCCCCATAAAAAAACAGCGGGTTTGGGCCTTATAATTTTATACGGCCCATCTGAATCGTCCCCTCCGCCCCTGGTCTCTCGCGACTTGCAGCCTGTTCGCTTGGTCGTATTTGGCTTATAAGCTATGGCTTATCAGCCAACGAATAATATTTTTTTCTCATACGAAACCAGCCAACAGTACTTTCAACCATAGCTTATAAGCCAAACAAACCTAAACGAACAGGGCGCTGGTAGGCGGCAGCGGCTAAAGTCCTTCGAATCAACTCCGAAATACATTTTAAATTTCAGTGGAAAACTTTAGCATTTCAAAATTTTGAATTTTTTTCTTAGTTTTTCTTGTGCACAGAAAACAAATACAGAGACAACAACTCTTTAGACTTTAGAGATATAAAAGATTTATTTTGTTACAGATATTCCAAATGAGAGATGAATTTGTCTCAGTTAAGCAAAGAAGGTTATGTCCTTAAAGAAACAGATCAGCTATAACCAAAAGGAAAAATATACAAGCAAAGCCAATAATGTCTCCCTAGTTCAGCGGCAGAGCAGGTCGGCGTGCGGGCAGAGTTCCCTGTACGCATGCTTGATGGTGTTCTCGGCGACGCCGGTGGCCGCGGACACGTCCCGGATTGACCTCCCGGCGCCGGCCTGGCGTTCCATGGCCATGTAGATGATGGCGACGGTGGTGGAATCCGGGTTGCGCCGCATGTCGAGACGGTCCTGCATCCTCCGCACCACGCGGCCTCCTGCACGGCACGCGCCTCGGCCTCCCCCATCCCCAGAAGCGAGCTGACCCGCTCCACGTAGTCCGCCGCGCGCACGACGCCGATGTCCATGTTCTCCCCGCTAGCCCCGTCCCCGAGGCGCTTCCCGATGAGCGCGATGAGATTGCCGATGTCCTTCCTCGCCGCGGGCCCGTCACGCGTCGCCGCCGCCAGCTCTTTGAATGTCCGGGGAGCGTCCGCGCGGCGGCACGCCACGTAGAGGCACGTCGCGTAGAGCGCGTCGCCGCTCTTCCCCGCGCCCTTGGTGTAGTAATGGTGCGCCTTGCCCTTGCGCTCCTCCATCATGAACACCTCCACTGCACAGTCCCGCGCGCCCGCCGCGATCCCGACTGGGGCCGACATGTCGGCGATGGCGCGGTACGCCTCACTGTTATACCCCATGAGCCGTGGCATCTCCCCCGTCGAAGAACCTGCTCCCCCAAGCAGGAGAATTTGGGAATCGCTGACGACGTTGTAGTCTTCCCAGGTAGCTGACGACGGTGGTAGACCTGTCTAGCACTTGAGGGATAGCATTGTTACCTTTCTTTACCTGACAGGGCTTAAGGATTGTTGCTGGTTGGGCTTCTGTGGCTTGCAAATCAGTGATTAGAGAAGGCTAGTGTGTAATCTGGGTGGAATTGCTTGAGTTGGGAAATATGGGAGACTGGATGAATGCGATTGTCTGTTGGAAGCTCCAAACGATATGTCACAGTACCAATTCTTTCCAATACTTTGTATGGCCCAAAGAACTTGTAAGACAACTTAGGAAAGGGTCGATTGGCAACTAACGATTGTGTATAGGGCTGCAGTCGGAGGAGTACCTGATCACCGACAGAAAACTATAGATCAGTTCTGCTTTTGTCGGCTTGCATTTTCGTTCTATTTTGGGTCAGTTCCGGTCTTTGTTTCAGCAGGTTGAGATGTTCCTCTCTATGTGCAATGAGCTTAGTGACTGATGGAGAAGCATATGCGGAAGTAATCTGTTGACGCTGAAAAGGATCCGGATTACACACCAGCAAGGGTAGCACGCCTGTGGTTGATAAATGACCTAGATCGCAGCAAGAACATAGCAAGATCGACGAAACCGATCTAGAGACCGATTAAGCCGATGATGAGCCCGTTCTTCGCCTGGTAGACTCCCGAACACCACCCGGGAAGATCTGCCGAGGAGGAGCACGTGATGGGTGTCCTAGAATCAGCAAGGCCACCTAGAACGCCGCCAAAACTCGCCGGGCCAATTCAGCGGGGATAGTTCCATTCTCTTCTCCTTTTTGCTTGGTGCATTGAATTATATTGTCCCAAATATTTTTTTGACATGTTCTCGATGTCATAAACTCGTATGGTCTATCCCTCATTCCACGTTGGCACAATTTTGCGTGTCAACATATGCCTCCTGTTTTTAGGTGAATGAAGCATGAACCTAAAAACATAAAGCACTAAATAGCAACGATGCCCAGCTTCCTTGGCTATCTAACATCTAAGGGCAATGTATACATTATCATATTTGTTCTAAGGGCGATACATGTACCTGCCATTGTTTGGAGAGCACTGTAGGCTTCTTGCCATACACTTAGGATTTTTTTAAATATCTTTCATTGAATGCTCTTGAGAGACTTTCACCTTGCAACATCTCCGACAGATATGAATTTTCAAATATTATTTTGATCATTTTATAAGAACCCTCCAACTTGGCTACTACTTGCCAAACTTATTTACTTTAGTTCCAATTGGCAATACGGTTTTCTACACTAAATCTTCGAATTGGAATGACTTGCTTTTAAATTTTTTGTCATATATGCCTAGACAATTCCAACTTCGATTTTTGGGACGATTTTTTTACCTTGCACGCAGCTGGATCCACACGAGGTCGGCTAGAGACGACGGCTCGTCCAACGCGAAGCTAGGGGGTTAAAGTCCACATTACCTCCCTCAACTTTTACGAAAGTCTGTTTTTCCTTCCTAAACTCTAAAACCGGATAAACCGCCTCCCTGAACTTTTAAAACCGTTCGTTTTAACTCCCTGACCAGTTATAAGCGGTTTTCAAAGACAGTTTTATCTTTTTCTTTTTTATTTATTTTGGCTGAATCTTTGAAAAATCATAGTAAATCATAGAAAAATCATAAAATGAAAAACTAATTTTGTTGGACTCCACATGAGTCGATCTACACAACGAACATATAATATAGTATGCTTTAGTATAATTTTTTTCTATAACTTTAGATCTATGCTTTTCTGTAATTAATTCATAGCTACAGTTTGTATGGTCCTATTGCGGTGAAATTTTTATGGTGGCTAATTATTGTATGCTTGAACTATAGTAGAAATTTCATACTTATTGGATTATATATAACTTAGTTATAGATTTATAAATACTTTTTAACAAGTTAAATGAAGAAAGGGTTCGAAAGAAGAGCGTGGATAAGGAAAGGCAGATTGAGAATTCAGAGTACCCAGTATCCACGTGGCACCGAGTTCAAAAAAAAGTATCCATGTGGCACCCCATTTCCACATAATTTCTCTCCTGCACTCTTCAACAATGTAGAACTGTCTTGCAAACTTAATGAGATGTTTGTATGCCAGTGATCATCAAAGTCAATAAGTAGCTCAGCAGATCCTCTTTGACACCTAAGCAATCAACAAATAATGCATAATACAGCATAGCTCTGCATTGGCACTAGTATAATCTCAAAAGGTCACTTCCATACCTCTTTGATGGATGATGAGCCACCAAAATTTGTAAAAACCTAATAAGTGAGTCGCGAGTGTCTGGTTTGACCATCTACAGTTATTTAGCAGGTACCATTAGCATTAATCATAAAAAGAAGCGCAGGCAGCACATTAGTTGTAAGTTTTGATCATTTGACTCAAACCTTATATGAACATGCAGGTTGAGTGCAAAACTGTGTATGATCAGTCCTACTAGAAGATCAAACCAGTTTGAGTGCAATAATGTGCAGTTGAGTGAAATAATGTGCACATTAGTAGGGTTTAGGGTTTGATCATTTGACTCAAACCTTTATATGAACATGCAGTCCTACTTGAAGATCAAAACTGCGTGATCAAATAGCAGTTATCTCGTGCATATGAGACTAAAAATAAATTTAATGGTGTGCAGCCTTTGTGACAGAACTCAAAGTGAAACGCCTCAAGTTTAAGGGCGTGTTTGGTTACACGCCATGGCTGGCCACGCCGTAGGTTTGGAGGCGCCACAGGTGTGTGGTGGGAAGAATAATGGTCACACATGCCACACTTTCGCCATAGCCAAAAAGACAAGCCAGGGAAGCAAAACGACAGCTGTGGCGGCCAAAGTTTACACGGCAACTAAGCAGTGGCCAAAGTTGCCGAACTTTTGGCGTGGCGAGTTGCGGCGTGCAACCAAACACGCCCTAACTTTTCCAATCATGTAAAGTCTCTGACGGCTGATACACACTCAGAAGAGCTTGTGCTGTTGACACGTCACAAAAAAAAGTTTAAGGGCAATGTCGTTCAGAGATCGTAGAATCGAAGCATAGCAAGCTACTTGCTAGACTAATGATAATTCATAACAGTCGATTAATCGTGAAACTAAGCTGCAATTTTCACGAGAATGTAAACTCAAGAGAAATTTGATGCACATGGACCAAACAAACCAAACAAACGAAAAAAGAGCAGTAATACTTAGATGCGTTCGTCCGGTCCAATAGACCCGCTCATCTCTAAGTCTCCTCTATCTCTCTCTATCTAAAAAGATATCTCCCCACTCCACCTCGTCCGTTGTGGCTTCACCGCGCCGTGCCGCCATCCGCCTGCCCCACTCTACCTCGCCGCCACGGCCATCCCCAGATGCGCCCCATCCCCTGTCGCACCGCGCTGCATTCCCCGCGGGGCCCCAGTCTGCCTCGCCCGTCGCGGCCACGACATTCACCGAGCCACCACCACCCCGACGCCACCAGAAGGAGGTCGCCGCCAGTCCGTACATCGTCTCCCGCGGTCGGCCGAAGACACCGCGGCTGGAAGGGGAGGCCCACGCCTGCGCCTGGGTGTACGCTAGGCCGTTGTTCTTGATGCCCCCCCTCACCCGAGATTATTGCTAGCTACGCAGTTCCCCACCAGGTAGGCCGTGCCCACCGGCGACGTCGTGTTTCAAGTTCCAGGTGTTTTGAACGTATGTTTCAAGTGTTTCATCTGGATGTTGCAAAAGTAGATTTGAGATGTTGCATATGTTGCAATCACATGTTTCGAGTGTTTCAGACGTATCTTCCTAGTTTTTCATCTCGATGTTGCATATGTTGCTATGGCTATACACGCATGTTTCAAGTGTTTTAGGTGTTTCAGGCGTATGTTGCAGGTGTTTCATCTGGATGAAGCCAAAGTAGATCTAGATGTTGCATATGCTGCTAAGGCTATACACGCATGTTTCAAGCGTATGTCTCAATTGTTTCATCTATTTCAGACCTATGTTGCAAGTGTTTCATCTGTATGTTGCAAAAGTAGATCTGGTGTTGCACATGTTGCAATGACGTCGGTGGCTTGTGGACAGCGGTCATCCGTAGCCACCTACTACTGCGGTTGGGGCGCTCTCGCGGGTCACCATGTGGGCTCCTGAGGCTAGCAGACACATCCCCTGCGCCCGGCGTGCATCCGTAGGTGGGGAAGGTGACTAGGATAAAAGGATCAAGATGCCCAAGAGAGGGGGTGAATTGGGCTAATTCTAATTTTCTTTGCAATAATTAAGTCTTACGGTTAGCCCAATTAACCCCTTGTGCCTAGAAAGTGTTTCTATTGATCTATCGCATAAAAGTCTAGCAACCTATATTCCAATCCTACTCAAGCATGGCAATTCTATGAATGTAAATGACAAGAATTGAATTGCTCAAAGTAAATGCTCAAAGTAAAGAGAGAACGAGGAACACAGCGATGTTTTGCCGAGGTATCGGAGAGTCGCCACTCCCCACTAGTCCTCGTTGGAGCACCCGCGCAAGGGTGTAGCTCCCCCTTGATCCGCGCCGGATGATCACCAAGCTCCCAATCACCACCAAGCCGTCTAGGTGATGGCGATCACCAAGAGTAATAAGCACGAACTCTCACTTGACTACGACAAGCCTAATGAGAAGGGTGGATGCATACTTTGCTACTCTTGATCTCACTAATGAGGGCTCTCTTTGGGATTCTCAAATCTCAATTACCTCACTAGAACCTTGCTCTTCTTTGGCACTCTCAAAGGTGTTTCTCAGCTATTAGAATGAGCAAAAGTACCCCCACACACGAGTGGAGAAAGTATTTATAACACCGGCTAAAAAACGAACTGTTATGTGCCTCTGCGGGGTGACCGGACGCTCCGGTCATGTTGACCGGACGCTCCGGTCAGTTCTCCCCAAACTCCAGTGTTTAAGTTGTGACCGAACGCTAACGCGTCCGGTCA